TCCTTCGATAGAATTCAGCGACCTCTCCGTATCGTTAAAGAATAATAAACGCGTGTAGCCATTGTTCTCGACACGGTTCACGAAGGCCTCGTACGTTTTCCAATATCGTTCAGCTAGTCGCGCTCGTTTTCCTTGACATACCTCGGGAAGACGAGCCCACCCGTCCTCATACCCGCCATTCCAAGGATCGCCTCTGCGAAATAATCCGTTGAAAAATAAAATTTGCAAGGAGAAGGAGAGGAAAGAATCGGAATACCATCGAGGAAGTTCACCGAGGAGGAGAGAAAACCGAAAAGAAGAAAGAATCGGTACGTTTCGAAAATCGAAAATTATTCGAATCCTTCGAACGATGTTCGTTCCTTTTATCGTAGGAGGTCGACATCGACGATTATATCTTGTCGATTTCCACACTCATTGGAATGTCTCACCATGTCTCATTTTTGCATAAATTAGTGTTTGCATAAATACTAAAGTTTTTTTTTTTTTTTTTTTAGAGGTTGCTTAACATCTCATTCGTACATTCTTTCTTAATAAATCGATCCAATCTTCGATTCATACCCTGCAATTTCGAAAATTGCATCCCTTTGATGCACATCAACGTTTAAGCGTGTAATTTCGCGCGAAGGGAGGGGAATGTTAAATAAAGAAGAGAAGGAACGACAATCGTTGGATCTAATTCCTTTCTTCTATTTATATTTACTTGTAAAAACTTGTTGCGCTCCCCCCGTCTACGAAAGGAAAAATCTAGATCAATCATCGATCAATTCATTAACTACTAATCTTTCTAAATTACCTTCTCGCGAGATAAAAATACTCTTCGAAGTAACCGATTTTTAAAACATCGATCTTTTTTATTTTTTAATAAGATAACTCTCAAAAAGTGTTCCATATCATAGAGAGAGAGAGAGAGAGAGAGAGAGAGAGAGAGACAAAAGAAAAACTTAGAGTCCCGTAACATTGCGCGAGTCCATAGAAATCGTTTATCGCGCAAAAGCCATTTAAAGTCGTCTCGTTAACACAATTCCCGGGACGATAAGAAGTGTACACTGCACATCTGCATCGTCGACTTGATGGCCGGAAATCCCAGCTTATTCTTCTTTTTTCTTTTTTTTTTTTTTTTTTAACCATCGCGTTATAGACAGAGGATCTAAAAGTGGAACGACGATCGTCGATAAAAAGTGGCTCACTTTCGATGCTCACGTTCGAAACTTTCTTATCTTATCTCCGCCATCTAAAACCGATCTTTATCCATCGTGTCGTCGTAAAAACAGACGGGAATTCCGCGAAAGTGTGTTTATTATTATAAGGAAGGAGGGGGGGAGTAGGGGATAATTAGAGATAAGTGGGCGTAATTGGCGAACTTTCCACGGTGTGTTTCTTTCTTCTCGAGTGGGAACGTTTTTATTTTTGTTTCTTTCAAACGACAACTGCGACCTCTTCTTTGCCTTGTTAATTCCTTTGTCGACCACGTGGCGCGTGCGTGGCATTTAATTATCGACGACGAGAGGGGACGACAAACGACTCGTGGGAACGAAAAGATCGATCGATCTCGATTAGTGGATCGAAACGTAATTTTTAAATACGTCATCGATAAGGATCGATACTGTACTTTTTTCGCATCGGGCGAGAAATTGGATCGAGCCGCGTGAAAGGATCGACGTATCCGGAGAAGTTTACGAGGAGATGTTTATTAGTCAGGAAAGGGTTCGCCGAGGAGAAAATGGAGAGACGAGTCGTTCGTCTCGAAATATCCAAGATTTTTCTCTCTCTCTCTTTCTCTCTCTTTTTAATAACATTTTTAACGCCATCAGAGATGATGGAAAGTCAGCTACTTTTCGCGTATAGCTTTCGCTAAAAAACTCGTGCTCGATCCGAAGTTAAAACTTGTGTTTGTAATTAATCGTTTGGAAAATAAAAATCTTATCAGAAGATTGGAAAATGGAGGAAAAAGATTCGACGATCCCTTTTCAAAGAGATGGATAATTTTTCGATTTTAGATCTCGTTGAAAGCTTGGTCGATAAATCCCTCGTTTGTATCCCGTAGACATAAAATTCTCGAACATAGAACACGCATGTATCGTCGACCTAGTTGCACGCAAGTGTGACTACTTTCGCTTGTGTATCGAGCAGAGGCGAGCACGAGGCGAAACAGAGATGCCAGAGGATAATCGTTTCATCGATAATCGGTCAAAGCTGCTCCCTTGTTCGGTCGATCTTTCCTCACTTTCGAACAACAGCAAGAGTCGCAGACTTTCGATAGAATTCGATAGAATGGATTGCAAACTCGTTCGCAATTATGAAAAAAAAAAAAAAATATGAATGAATACATAAAAAGTTGGTAGCTACTTTTACGCTCGGAGTTTCTACATTTCTGTTTCTCTTCTTTTATTTTATTTTATTTCTTTTTTTATTATCCTATTTATTATTATCCTATCGTTTGGAGAAAGTTGAACGTTGTTAATGTAGCAGTTGGCTTCAATTTTTCACCAGGGGAAATTGCTCACATCCGTGTATTTAACACTGTTACGGTCGTCTGCCGCCATTTTTTTTTTTCTTGATTCAAGATCAGAGGGGAGATTGGCAGGGAACGTTGGCACAATCCCTCTTTTTCACCGCCTTGAAAACTTCGTGAAGACCGCTCTTCTTCGCCGTTGCGGTCGATGTTCTAGCGATAAATAAAAAAAAAAAAAAAAAAAAAAAAAAGGAAAGAAAAAGAAAAGAATTGCGTGAAAATTTTCCGCCAAAGCGAATTATATGATCGATAATAATCAATAAGTAAATTCGTGTTATCGTTATTATTGTTTTTCGCGCGTTGTAAATCGAGAAGAAAATTGGAACCGGTTTTTTAAAAAGCAAAATTGCCCTCTTTTCTTACTCTCCTTCCTTTTTATCTCGTATATATATATATATATATTAGAAAGATGATAAAAGAATCGGCTTTAGACGGATCGTATAAACGCTTTAAACACTGCCTTCGTTGTTCCACTTCTGTAATTGCAATAGACGGCAATCGGTCGTTAAGCCGTTAAAAAAGTGCTCTTCCGACGAAGTGCTCAACTGTAAACGAGCGCCGTTTTAATAAGGCGATTTTAAACGTCCCATTTAACGTCAATCTTCATTTCTCATCGCTCTGACCGTTCGTAGGAGAACCCATTTTTCCGTCCAAGCAGAGCATTAAAATCAACCGATTATTTTTATTATTATTATTATTATTATTATTATTATTATTTTTATTGTTATTATTACTATTATTATTATTATTATTATTTTAAACTCTATCCACAATCCTAAGATGAAATAACGAATTACCTCGTCGCCAAATTCCACAAGATATTCTGCAACACGGTCGATCCGGCGTCACCGCCGGCGAGGATCGCGCGGCAGACGGATCTCTCCTCGCAATCGGGCTGC